ATTTTTTTCATGGAAAGACTACTCACAGGTTGTATGCATTGTATTATATTACAGATACATCTGTCTTTTCTAACCACTCTCTTAAACAGTGATGCATATCCTAAAAACGTGACTTTTTGGTCTTGTAATAACAACTGGCAAAAGAGATTTTTTTTAAGGAAGCTACCCATCTTCTGTACTATTTTGAAGTCAGATCTGAAATCATTAGCTGGATAGAAAAAAGGAGTGTACCAGATGCGATAAGATGTATTTTTAAATGTGTATATATTAAAGTGCTTTTTTTTTTCATTTGTAGAAAGCACATGAATTCTCCCCAAATAAATACTTTTGTTTAGTATCGCTAGATTAGTTTAGCAGACTCAAGAATCACATAGGCCAGAAAAGATAAGAGTCCTTTTAGAAAACCATGCAGTTTCATCACCCCTGCCCCCTCCACATACAAAATAGCTGGCTCTGATTGTTGTTGATCAACATTCTCAACCTCGCTAAGTCACATCCTTGCCAATTTGTGGCTTGGACGCCTTAAAATGTTTCTCTGTAACTATTAGTACTCCAAAACATTCACTGTCTGTTCTGTTGTGTTCTACTGCACCTTGCTTGTAACTTTTACCAATGCCATAAAAATAGGATCTAAGAAAACACAAAGAAAAATGCAATCAGCTGAAGGTCAGCACTAAACATTTCTTCAAAACAGGGGTTTAAGTTCCAATTGCAGGTTGGATTTCTTCAGAGCAACTGTTCAGTAGAAAAAAGACATTAGAAATATATGTTTGAGGGCTCTCTTGTGCAGGGTCACACTGTTTCTTCTTGGGACCCTTCCTGTTCAATGTGTATTTGAGGTCACTAAAGGAGATTTTGAGGTATTTAGGGTTGTAGTGAAATCTTTATGTAGATGGCACTCTGTTCTACATGATCTATATACTCTGTAGTCTTTTTGCTTTCCTAATACCTGGCAGGAGATTGAGGCTTGGATGAGAACAAACTGTCTGGGGCACAATCCAGAAAAGATGAGAGGATGTTGGCAGGTTGTGAGAGTAGGTGGCAGAGGTTTTGTCCTCCTTTTGTCAACTGATGGCAATCTTGATGTCCTGTTGGATCCATCACTGTTGCTAGGATCTTAGATAAAAGTTGTGGCCTGGAGTTCATGTCTTCCTCGGACGCCTTCTATCTCTCTCAAGCCTCTATCACTCCAGATTAGACTATGGCAATGTGCTTTACTTTGGACTATCCTTTAAGACTACTGAAGAACTTCTTGATGGTGCTATATGATGCGGGGACTTAATTTAGAAGTTGCCTGTTGCAACTGCAGAAGTCAGCTGGGGGTACTTCGGTCTTCAATTCCCAGGGTTCTTCTCTTGAAGGCTTGTAGCTGGGCAGTCTTAAAAGACAGATCCCTAGCTGTGGAATTTGTTCCATGTTGCAGTCTGTCAGCCCAACTTTTGCAATTTGAGAACAGGAGGTAAGGTTCATCAGTTTATACAGGCATTTTCCCAAGTATCAATGTTTCAGTCAGGGGTTTTTCCCCAAGCAGCAGATTTGGTGGCTATAAAGTTGAATATTTTATTATGTTTATTATCAGCAAACATGAATATAGTTTTAAATCTAGCAAGGTGATGAGTGCCAAGTTGGCTCATATGTAAATAGCCTGTAGCTGGATTTCAGGGTTGATGAAAATGAGACATACAGATCAATTTATTTTTCCTGGATTCATGAAGGCAGACCTTCAGGGACCATGCCACTGATTACATATATTTTATACCACAAGGGACTGGATAGTTCACAGCAAGGACTGCTGCTGACACTTAATATTGCCAAAACTCTTTTAGTCCCAATATGTGCCCGCAGAGAAGCACTTGTGATTTTTTGTCAGGACTAGTGGTGTACAAGATGGCTTTTCTTCACTTCCATCCTCTGGTAAGGATGCATCTTTTCTTCTTTGGCCACAAGAAAAACCAATTATTATCCTTTCACCACTCCACATATTCCAGTTGCATGAAGGCACCAAGAGGATCTCTTCAGTCTCTATGATTATGGTGGCTGCTTGGCAGGATCTATATCTTCCGCATCTGCAACCAGGAAAGTCATGCCGACTGTGGCAGCAGGATATGTCCTCATCTTCTACTGGTGCAGGGAGCACACTGAAGGGTGTATTTTCAAAGCCAGATGGAAAAAGCTAGAACTGTGGTAGGAGAAAGACAGGATTGGGGAAAATAGTAGACAGCGTCTTTTCAGAAAAAGAGGGAGGTGGCCAAGGAAATTATGCAGTCACAATAGTAACCCTTTGTTTACACAGTTGTTACAGACACATATAGCAGCAAGTTGGAGTCAAAGAATGAATGTCTTTCTTCAATGTCTTTAAAAAGACATTTTAAAAAAAAAAATAGGCCTAATTTCTACCCATCATGTAAACACTCCATTTGAGTGTAAGCTTAAAATATCATCAGTGGATTCACTGTCTTTTCCTAGAGGAAATAAAATACCATCAAGCAGATAACTTTATGGTGCAGCTCTCTATAGGAGCAAGTAGGGGGGGGAAAAAGGGTATAAAACAGTCAAATCAAAATGTCTGCTGGCAGAAAGGGAAGTTTACAAAGAAGTATCCATTTTGCTTGTTTACAGAGGTCTGAAAATTGAGGAAACATTATAAGTGTTACTGTGAAATTCACAATAATATTAATGGGTTGTCCATCAAAGACCAAGAGAGGGTCACCTCTCAAAGCCAGTAAAACATGGGTTGCCAGAAAATTCTGAGTAAAAATGCCATTAAATCCCATCAAGACTGTGAGAGGCCATTCAATAAGAATCTTACACTGGCTGCGAACGAATTCATTAAAAGAGTGCGCTCAAAGTTGACACAAACAACAGATGTAAATCCTTAAAAAAAAGAAATAAAAATTAAGAGTCTATGTCACATGCGCCAGTTAAGGAAGCACAGAACAATACCAAATCACGCAATGTGGGCACTTACTGGATGATAAATGTCCTCTTGTATTTATGTCTAATTGATATTTACCTTTATTTCAGCAAGCACATTCATTTCTTTGATCAATTGCTTTTACTTCTCTTTTGTTTGATCAAATCTGCAAGTGTTAGTAATTTGGTCAAATTACCATTCTAAAAGATCAACTAATACAGCCAGCATAGAAGAGAAATATTTTCTCTGATCTTACTTCCTCTTTTATCCCTAGCTATTATTAATATATCAGTTCTCTGGGGCACTAAATTATTTGATACAAAAAGTATTCCACTGATAATACACATTTAAGGTTTCTAAATCTTAACTGCAACACCCCCCCCCAAAACCCCAACCCTGTACTTAAGTGTAAGTTTGTGGCAATTGCATGTCATAGTTCACCCAACATATGACATTTGTGCTGCTGTAAACAACATGTGCAAGTTATTTTTTTTAAATAAAAGCCAGCAGCTGTTTTGCTAATTTTTTTTCATTGTGCATCATACATTGCCAACTTACATGTATCATTTTTGTTGTTAGCTATAAAGCTTTGCAATGCTGCAAAAAAATGGAAAAGTATATAAATTTATACAGCACAATGCAGCACAAAACAAATGCCACAATCTGTAGATTTTCACCTTAGAGATACTCACTTATCTAACAGCTAATAAGGATTTTAGTAACTACAACTCTACCCTGATATAACGCGACCGGATAGAACACAAATTTGGATATAACGCGGTAAAGCAGAGCTCCAAGGGGGCGGGGCTGCACACTCGGGTGGATCAAAGCAAGTTCGATATAACGCTGTTTCACCTATAACGCGGTAAGATTTTTTGGCTCCCGAGGCCAGCGTTATATCGGGGTAGAGGTGTACTTGGACTGTAAACATCCGAGGAAAATGGATAATCAGCACAATTTCATCTTATTGGCTAGCTTGCCCTCCTTTTCTCCTCCCTTCCACCAGTCAAAAATTTTACTAATGACTTATAAACAGTGTTATCTAATACATTCCTGTGTAATAACATATTTAAAACCCAACAATCGGGATTATTTAATACAGTAATTTAAAAATCATCTTAGCCCACCTGTTATATCGGGGTAGAAGTGTATCAGGTGTGGCAAAATAAGAAATCTCATGCTGTAAAGACATATCAAAATATGCCAGAATTTTTTAAAATGTTTAAAGACATCTTGCTGGTGTGCTCTCTCATTTATAGGTACAGAATTAAATTTCTCAATTTGCATTTGATATTTAGGCATTTCCAAAAAGTGCACTTTGATGAAAGGAAGACTTTGAACATACAAATAAAACTAAGAGTTACATTCTGATAAACATAAATCTAAGTTGAGCTCGGCTTTCAAAATTCTTTTTATAAATACTTCTTGTCCTTCCAAATTTAGGCCCTGCTTGAATTTGTGCAACTGATTCTTTAAGCTGTCATTTCTGTTTCCATAGCAAAGTTTTTTTTCTCCACAGTAAATTAAAAATTCACATTTTTTTTTTTAAATAAAAGTTTAATGACATTTTGTTATAGCTAAATCTTCTCTCGAACTGGGACTGTCAAGATACCTACAGAGCCACAATACATAATTAAACAAATGTGAAATAAACATATTAAACGATTTATTGAAACTGACTGAAAATATAAGTCTTGAACTTTAAGACAGTGGTAAAGTAGCAACTGAGGTACCTGGAAAACTGTGGTAGCAACAGTGTCAGAACTTAACTACAAAACTTCCAAGAAGCTTATAACTAGGCTTGGCAGGATTCCATTTTTTTTAAATAATTTCAGTGCATAATATTGATGTTTCTTTTTAAGCACTGTTTTAGATTTGTATTGATTTAAATTTTCTCAGTTGCATGAAATTATGGGTTTAAGCATTTTCCCCATTTTTAAACATTTAAAATTTTCACAGTTGTGGGAAATTATGGGGATGGGGGAGTCAGAATTATTTAATGACTGTAGATGCTGAGATTCAAAGAGTTATAACTTGTCAAAATATGTGAAAATATACAAATTAAATATTTTTATATCAACAAACTTATTTTTACTAATTTTAAAAATATCAACATATACTTATTTTTACTAATCAATTGCTAGTCCATTTGTAATCAGCCTAATTCAGAAGTCTAAATCACTGGGTTTTGAGTCCAATAAGTTCTCAAGCAGTGTTTTTCTTACTTTGCCTATCTGTAAATTTCAATTATCATTGACAAGACATTTTATTTTCATCTGATTTGTGTGTAAACAGTGAAATAAACATTTACCAACATTTACCGATAAACTAATCCTTCTTCCAAGCCTACTTATAAGTGAAAGAAACATTTATGGAGTTAAATGACATTTTGTTCTGTACTAATAATGCAACTGTATCAGTCAACCATTGCTTTATAAATTCTTCTTTCAAGTAGCCTGCCTTGTTACAAATTATTAGTGAAAAATCATTGTCAAGTGCATAAATTATCAGGAAGGTAAATGAGATGCAGATTATGAGTTGCCATTTGACTTAGTTGTGTCTACCTAGGTTGCTGCCAACAGTTTGTTTACACTGTGATAAACGAGTCGTGTTCATTTTTATTGAACACCAGTGATATAAGCCAGTTGCAGATACAGTTGCACAGAAGAGCTTTAATGCAAGATGTAAGTTATTGCATAATGCCCCTGGTTTCCAACAGAACTACTACGAAGTGCCAGATACTTCCCTTCATTTGTGTAGCATGGAGTTGAGCAAAGAATCCAAAATGGTGCAATTTCTGATTTTCCCTTTATATTGAGCCTGCCAAAAGCTTCTTCACATTAACATCATGTAGTTCTCCCACTGCAGATAATAGAAGGGCCTATAAGATCAAGCCTGGGGAGCACTCACTATGCAGCTCTTCCTGCGGGAAAGGAGGTTTGGGGTCACAGTCAAATTAAAAACGTAAAATCTAGTCCATTAAGAAAAAGTGAAAAGAAGTTTCAAGGACTGCACCTGCTCCTAAGCCCCACAGACAATTTGTGATTTTATACTCACCTTTTTGCTATGTAAAATGTTTCTCCCTTGCCACTACTGTGGGAAAGACCCACACAAATAACAGGAAAAACTGATTAACTAATTGCCTGTAAATATGGGAAACAGACTATGTACAAAGAATCATTAAATGCATAAAGTCAATAAAGAGAAAGAAAAGATATTTCCACTAATCTTTCAGTAATAGCAATCTTGGGCATTACTTACAATAGCAGCAGGAAGTGTGATTAAGTCAACTCAGTCCTTTCTTTACTCTCTAGTGGCTAAATAATGGACTGAACAGTATTATTTCCCAAGGAGGAATGCAGTGGGGGAACCACAGTCCCTCTAAACAGATACCCCCAAGCCTACAGAAGCAATCTCTGCAATTCCATGGGCTTCTTAGAATTTGATACATTTTCCTTTCTCCAAGAGAAACATGAATTAGATACTCTGACATTTCCTGACTATTTTTGCCCCCTGCCCAAGTTTTCCAGAGGATGGGAAGATTTAGGTGGCAGTTACCAAGCTATTGCATAACAGACCTGATCTAAAGCCCAATGAAGTCAATGGTACCAATATGCATTATTTCCTGCTAGCTATGAAGCTAACTTGTTTCACTTCTGTGCATTTTAAGTTCTATATAATTTTTAAAAATCAAGATGATTTTTTTGTGAAAAACAGTAATCAGCCAAAATGTGGCTGTCAACCACTAAATTCGGGAGACAGCTGCCAGCATGTGTCCACTTGTATTAATAATCTCTAAAATACATTATTTTTAAAAGGTAAACATTTCTGTATATATCAGCTCATCAAAAGGATTTTATTTGAAGTGATTGCTCACCCTGAAATAAATATAATTACACGTATATAAGAGATTGCACAGATACACCACATGGTTTAAACTTTCTTTAGAGTCTTTTGGACAAAAAAATAACCATTCCATGATGGTGGTTTTTCAATGACAATACACATTTTAAGTAACCTACCTGAATATTCTCAACAAAGGTATCCAAAAATTTAATAGGAATTTAAAATTTAGTTCTTATACAACATAATACTTGCTTTCATACATCCAATAAGCCTACTGACCTTTCAGAAATCAAATTTCAAAGGACTTGAATGCATTCATTAATTTATCCATAATAGAGATTTTATAACAGATACTAGTGATCTGAAACAAAAATTCAACATGATTGATCTGCTTCTAAAATTGCCTTACCCTTCCATTTCAAATCCATAAAACTCTGCTACATTGGGGAATGTCATTATCGTATGAAAGTGATTCCGAAGTTGAATTCTTCGTAAAGGCTGGAGTAACAAATTGAGAAACTTTTCTAGAGAACAGTTTAAGGGAAATGAAGGGATTTTACCATTTTATCTATATATAAATAAAGAAAAGTTTTGTTGCATTCATTATTTTGGCAGATTCTATACAAGATTCTGTGATTAATTTTATTTAAACATCACTCTCGCAACGATTTAAACTAAGGGTACGTAATGAAAATGGAGAGAATTAAAGGCTGACAGTTCTAATATAGAACTTGCACAATAATCACCTTTAACACCGACTAAACAAGGAATGGCATAAACAGGATTAGAAACTAGACATTTTTAAACGAAGAAGCTTTGTTGCAGATTTTAATTGTTTTTCTAAGAAGGTTAGTTTTAACTTTCAGTATGCAATTCAATACTTTATCTGCAACATGTAGTATAAAGTGTACAAATCATCACAGCAACATTTACATAATAATTGGCTTTGGCTCCGGTCTTATATAGACCTATTTACAAATCTGGGATAAGTAAACATCTATTTACCTAAGTTCTATACATATGTTCAAACTTTAAACCTGTTTCAAATCAAATCCTGCAAGATAAAAGTCTTTTAAATATACATCTTAAACCATTACAGTACTGCAGCATGTATATATATATTAATATTCCCATGGATCTGTTTAAATTCTCCATTGATAGCTATTCACCACATGGAAGTTTTTAGAAAAAAAATCAAAGATATTCTCTAACTCCTTTGTTTCCAGAATTAACACCTTGGTGCCGATGGTTTTGGATTGCCATAAGCAGCTATTAGACTGGGAAAAATATAGCTCCTGGTACAAAAAGGATTGATGTGCCTCAAAGTGGCCCAAAATTTGGGGTGCAACTTATCCTCTTATTAAGAGAGGGATATGTTTTTACGTAAATATAGTTGGGTAACTGCAAGTATTTTTGTTGTCTCCAATAATCAAGCTCCTACATGCTTCCTGACCTCCTTCTTTGGAATTTGTGTCATGAATGGACACCCCAAATATTATTCTATATTAATTTTGGATTAATTAATTTGCAGTGGTGGTTCCTCACATGCCCATTGTCAATAACAGATTGTGCTCTTTGACAAACTGACCCCAATACCAAAGAGTTAATATTGCTGTTGCACTCCTGAAACAACTCAGAGTACAGCTAGTGTTTATGAGTCCTACAGTTTGTTTTGCAATTCTACAACTGAGATAGAATAATTTTTCTCCAGTTTAAAACCTACCTCAGAACCAATATGAACAAAGAAGGCAGTTATTCCTGTGACTCCTACAATTTCCAAAGCACTATTTAGTTCATAATTAAATTTAAAAGAAAAACCAAGTACATCTGCAAACAAATACACAGCTTTTTACAAAAGGCCTCTTTGTGATCAATTATATAAAATATAGAGTTCTCATTTTCCTTAAAGTGCTATCATCGTCAATATTGATTCAGAATCATCTATTGTTTCAAGAGGTCTTTTAGTACAGCACCAGCACTGGCATCAGGCAACACTGGCAGTGGTGTAAAAGTAGGCAAGGCATCAGAAATAGATTTCATAAGCAGATGCCCCGATCCACCAGCTCCAAGAGAAGTGGGGGTGATTAGGGGCACTGCTGCAGATCGGGGTGCCAAGAATGGATTCGCATCTGGTCTTCTACTGGTTCCTGAGCCTGTAGTTTCTGAGATTTAAAACAAACAAACAAAAACCCACACATTAGAAAACATTTACAATCCACCAATTTTCAATGCATTTGTGTAGAAAGCAGATTATCCTTCAACTGGCTCCTCCTTCTCCATTGCATCAAATTCAGTCTTCTTGCCCTACACTTCAAGGCCTTTCACAACTCTGCATCCTCTCTACTTATCTACTTTATTATTACATCCCACTGGTAAAATTATACCAGCTTTGATTGCCCATGTATCAACTTCTCACAATCTGCCCCTTTTATACAAAACTCCTGCCCATACTAGCTTATGTCCAAGTCATTTCAAATTCAGTATAAAAATTCTCTCAGTCCCAGATAAAACTAGGGCCGTACCAAATTCATGGCCATGAAAAATGCATCACGGACTGTGAAATCTGATCTCCCCTGTGAAATCTGTCTAGTGTAGGGGAGGGGCAGGGCTGGGGGCTCCTACTGTGCACCATGCTCCAGCTGCTAGTCCCGGCCGGGCTGGGGAGGGATGGGACTTCCTCTTCCCCAGCAGGGGCCATTCCTGGGGCTGGGTCAGACCCACCTCCGGGAACCTCTCCCAGTTGCAGGAAGCTCCGTGGCTGCTGACTGGGAGCCCAGCTCTGAAAGCAGCACCATCACCAGCAGCAGCGCAGAAGTGAGGGTGGCATGGTATGGAATTGCCACCCTTTCTTCTGCGCCCTCACCAGTAGCAGTACAGAAGTGAAGGTGGCAATACCGTGACGCCTCCTACAATAGCATACCATACCATGCCACCCTTACTTCTGTGCTGCTGCTGGTGGCGGCGCTGCCTTTAGAGCTGGGTGCCTGGCCAGCAGCCACTGCTCTCTGGCTGCCCAGCTCTGAAGGCAGTGCCACCACTAGTAGTGCAGAAGTAAGGGTGGCAATACCGCGAGCCCGCCAACAATAAATAGCCTTGTGACCCCACCCATGATCCGCTTTTGTGTCAGGATTCCCGGGGTTACAACACCGACATTTCAGATTTAAATAGCTGAAACCGTGGCATTTATGATTTTTAAAATCCAATGACCCTGAAATTGACCAAAATGGACTGTGAATTTGGTAGGGCCCTAGATATAACCTATGTTTTTCCTTTGTGTGCAGATATCAGAGGGGGAAGCAGGCAAAAAAAAAAAAGAAAATCACGTTTATAGTGGAAACTAAGTTGCTACTGCCACTCCATAATAATTCAATAGATTTTTTTTAAAAAGATCTTTTATCACACAACTGACTCAAACTCCTATAAATATAGCAAGGCTACTCAAGTCCTTTTGGTATGGGATTTACATCCTTATCTTATGCTTCTTCCATATGGTATATCTCTAGCAACTGAAAACTTAGATACCAAAACAATTAAGGGATATAGGATGGGTGTCTGGTTTTATAAGGGAACAATATGGTTCCTGAATGAATAAAGGACCTCAGAACTTAGTTTTTCCAGACTAGGAAAATGGGCTTTTGCCAAATAAAATAGGGTACCCTGCCTATTATATTATAAATGACAAGAGTACAAAGAAATATGAAACCTAATTTAAGTTTATTGAAAATATTACTTTCAGAGATAAGCTGATACGGCAAATTGGAAATTCTTTCTTTATGTTTCTCCAATTTACTTGTGGTTTGAAAAAGTTATTTAAAACTTAATATTGAAGCTTACAATTGTTGAAATTTTAATTTAAAAAGACTCTATGATCAGCAACAGTTGGTATCTAAAGATGAAGTCCTAAAAAGCATATTAAAAAAAATCATTCCATATGCAGAACGCTGATTAATTAAATTAAGGACTTGATCCTACAAGGTGCTGAGCATCCTAAACATATATTATTCAGCAGCATGTGCTCAGTGTCTTACAGGATCAGAATCTAAAGGAAAGTCAATTGATATTTTTGCACATACCTGCTAGGAAGTATTTCAAGCACAGGCATAATTGTTAAAGTATTCTGACTTTACCAACATGGAGAACAAATTAGAGATCCTTTCTCAGATCAAAAATCAATCTCAGATTAGCTCACATTTTTAAACAATCTGCTAGTTTTAGCCTAATATTTAGGAAGTGAACTGGTGTTACACATCACAAACCACCACAGGCTTGGCATTGTTAGCTCTATGAGACCCAGGCTGAACAGCAGGGATGCTGCAGATCAGGACTAGAGAGCACAGACATAATCACATGCAGGGAAGATTAACCACCATCTGTCTGGCTCTAGTGCTGGCTCTCACCATCAAAAGTAATATATTCACTCAGAGATTAAGGGGACTTTTTGGGGGATGGGGGAAACAGAATTTCAAAGTGGTCTAAGGGAGCTAGGAGCTTAACTCCCGTATGCCCTTTAGAAAATCCCATCAGAACGAAAGAAAGGACGGACGGACGGACGGACGGACGGACGCGCGCACACACACACACACACACACACAGTTTCTCTCTCCCTTTAGGTTTAACCAAGATATGGTGTTACCTGTATGGCTGCTGGATCTGGTACTACTAGGATTACAAATTCCTGCTGCTCCTAAAGGTTTCATATCATGAACAGAGAGCGTGGGTAGGGGAAGGTTTGGACGTGATTCTGTTTCAAGGAACTTCACAAACAGTTCTGAAAAAGACTAGAAAGAACATGCCCACTAATTAGAACATTTTCAATAATTTTCTTTAATTAGTAACTGCTTCTGGGCCAGAATTTAGAAAGTATGACTGGTCCTGAAAAGATATGTACTGGGCTGCTAGAATTTTTCTAGCCCTAAGGTCACAAGAAATCAGACCTTAACATGCGGTGATCAAGGAATTTATTTAAAAAATATCAGTTAACCTTCAGTGACACAGCAAAAATATAATTTAAAACTTTAATAATTTCAAAGATAAACATTTGTACCTCCACCATCAAAGTCTGATTGTTTCTTGAATCCCATGCTGCTATTGACATCATAAGCAGTAGAACATGGACACAGGAACATTGTCACCCAAGTTACAACAGCTTAATAAAGAGGAGAAAATGTCAGTTTTTTTTTTTTTTAAAGGCCATTACTTTCTCCACTTTGTTTATCTGACACACTATGCCATGAATATGGGAACAGGAACTGCTTATGATGTCAGCAAAAGCATAGGACTCAGACTTTGCTAGGAGAATAAGCACTGCAGATACAAAATTATTAATCTTCCTCTTTATGCCTGTGAAACTACTAAGACAATTTACATTATTAGCAAACATCTACACCTTAAAAATCACAACTCTGGCTGGTGGCTTACTTTATTACTCCACTTCATTGCTTGCGTCATTTTAGTAGCCAATATCCTCCCATAAGCTTACAGTTAGAGATTAACGCCTTACATCAATTCTCCAACATTTTTATTCTGTGGCACGGTGAACAAAAAACAACCCCCAAAACATCCCACTTCCAAACCCTCTTATTGCTCACTGCTTGATTCTCAAATATGTTCCATTCTGCTGACCACCAAGAAAGGCTCCAGTCTACTGACTACAGTGTCAGAATCACCACTTTATAAAACTTGAAAAGTGGCTCTTTCTCAAGAACTTCTGAACCTAAGACCAACGATGTACAGCACAGAAAAGCTAGGAATTCCAGCTTTCAAGTTAAAATTGAAAGGAGGGTGGGGGGGCGCTTGGGGAAAGGGAAGGACAAAATTGTAATCAAAGTATGATTTCATGGTCTTAAATCCTGCAGCCTGCTGAAGACTCCCAGCTTTCAAATAATGTATTTAACCTCTAGCTCTGAAGGTTCACACAATAAAGGTCCCTGGTGGACAATGAGGTCATCGGTCCCTAGAAGAGCTGTAATATTTTGGTAGTAGCCCAGCACTTAGCATGGACCTCAGGCCAGTATGACTTTTAACCTCCTGTTTATTACTGGTTTAAAAAAATGTTGGAAAACAAACTAGTTGCACTAAGCACACAAGTAATTCAAGATCTATTATCAATAAAACCAACATTAAATCAAGACCAAAATACCAAAACTAAAAATGTTAGCATTGATATGTAACTGTCATAGCTTTTGCATTCAAATGTAGAGAATTGTATAATTAATCCTTACACTATTGAAAACAGATTGATTAGTTGGTCTTATAGGTGTGCTTGGGACACTCTTTGATCCAGCTCCTCCTCCACCAAGCCAACCAGTCATCCATCTGGTAACACCTTTTTGGTCTTCAGACAATAACTAGAGAGAATTAAAAAAAAAAGAGAAATGCTGAAACAAAGAAAAAACAGCAAAACCAACCAACAAAAAGCAAACAAACAAAAAAATCAGCTTATGGGCTGGCTCCCTTACATTTGCTCACAAATGGCAAAGGGAACTGTTCCAGATTATCTTATTTGACGAACAGCGAACCCTTATTTACTGACAAAAGCTTTAAAACTGTTCTCCACCCCTCTGAAATATCCCGCTGGTCTAAAATCCTGTTATGCATAAAACCACTGTTTAAATAAGCCTGTATACATGAGTTAAACTAGTTTGACTAACTGAAGTAAACATTCTCAGACTGTCATATTACAGCTACTGTACTAGCAACCAAGTGAAGCTCTTCTCTTCCACTACATCAGCATCCATCAGACAAAATGACATCCTGCATCTATTATTCTATTAAAATCATCGTAAGATCCAGTAGGATCAGCATGTCCCTTTTTAAGAATGAACACAGATGAAAGGCCAAATTTTTTATTTTCCATAAACATTGCTTGGCCTTGGCATTTAACGTAGCAGCAGAAAACAACATTCTGTTTTACTAACATCACAAATATATGTTAAATGAAAGAGGAAGTCTAGTTTTTAATGCGGTATTTACCTGATCTAGCTCTTCCTTTTTGATCCCCAAAATACTTCCCATTAACCTTAAGACCTCATGACGCTTATTCTTTGGAGTATGAAAATGCCCAATGAAGAGATTTCTCATCAAGACCCTACAAAAATGAAGAGAAAGAGCTAATTAATCCATTCAGCTTTTACAGAACTCATGGCGCCAAAATATTAACATATTAATCCTTATTCTTGAAACAATTTCACATACCCTTTTCTAATTTATCATCATCATAATAAACCAAAGTCAAAATGTATGATGCAAGAAATAAATGGCAACCTCACCAATTTCCTTTAAGCTCCCAAATCACTTCCTATACTGTGGGTTATAATTTGGAGAAGCTTGCAAATGGCCTTATTATCTACTGAGACTGAGGGAACAATGATTCACATGCAGAGGAAGTGATATATTTCACTGAGATGGAGCAAGAAGCTAAGTACTGTCTTGAACCAGTCCTAAGGGAGGAAACAGTAGAGTGGCTATAGTTTTAATATCAATTCTAAGTGGGGGGAACCAAATGAGAATCTGATATCCAGATGATGCCAGGTATGTGAGAAGGCTTACTTTTTGTGCCCTAGACCGATTACAATGTACTAGCATTGAACTACAGATAGAAAGTCAAGCAATTAGAGTCAAATTAGAATTATAAATAAGCAACAATCAATAATGCAAATTTTGTTTAGAAGACACATTTTAATTCTGTTTAGACAAACATTTTTATTTCAATTTTCAAAACTAATCTTTAAAATGACTGTACAATGGAAAATATGCAAGTATTCACTATTTTTTGAAAGATTTTATGCAGAAACCTAAATCTACACCATGACTACTATTCTTATTCGGTTAGTGTAGTTTTAAGAAGGGATTTATAGGATGAAGAGCAAAGAAATTATAAATACACCAATTAAAAAAAGTCACTTACTTGTCCACTTTCCCTTCTGTGCTGTTTATAAGGTTCATTAGTTTGTTTTGTGCATCTTCTAACATTTCTTGTTTGATCTCACCTAGAGAATTAATATGTAATTTCACTGTAAATTAACTAAAATAGAAGATTTTAAGATAATATACACTTCAAAGTCATATACACATTTATGTTTTCAAATAAAATGCATCAATATTATTAAAATAAGCTGTTTTTTTTTAATAAAGATGATGTATTTGGAAAGTGTTCACTTAATAAGGTATTTAATATTTTAATATGAGCTAAAATACCCAGCACATTCAGTGCAAAGTGAGCCAAAGCACAGACAGCAGGATATAAATCCACTGCATGAGGCTTGGTAAATTGTTCAGCTGCAGTTAAATTAACTAAAGCTGGAAAATAAGATCTTATGCAACAGTTCATGAGCTGCTTCAGTACATTCTAGGTATGATTTCAGTCCTATCTGAAATCTTATACAGTGTAGACTATGAACTTAGAAACCACTTCGGTCACCATACTACCCAAACCTACCCCACTGGGTCTCCTGAATTAGCCATAAATTGCTATTGACACCCCAACAGGCTTGAAAATGTTAGCACTTTTAGAGCCATTTTCTCATGTTGGGAAACAGAAACATTTATTTGCATTTTACTTTATCCCATTTTCCAGGTATAATTTTGCAGACTGCCAGTTTGACACAAGACTGCAATGACTCTTATGGTGTGTTCTGGTCTGTAACAGGGTCAGTGTATGCCATCTGGTCATTTGTGTGCTGCCTTTTTAGCTTCCCAGTGCACCCAGACTCTCATGAGACAAGTTCCATCCCTTCTCGGGGTTTGGTTTATTAAAGTAACTTCGCAGTTCAACATCGTCTCCATGCAAAACAAACTTTCACGGACTCCAGCATTCCTTCCCAAAAACCAGATCCAACTGTCTGGACCTAAAGCCTCTCATCAGTAAAGCTTCTATCTTTGCTTTCTGTAGGTATCTCTCACCAGGCAGTCCCATCTGTTTGGCACAGAAGCCCCCCACCTAGCATCCTTCCTCTGGCCCTGAGTCTTTCTTCTTTTTCTCTTTAGCAACCCTGGGCTGCCAGCACCTAACTCAGCCACTGTCCCAAGCTGCGAAACAGGGTGCTGGAACATGTGCATGCACTCCAGAACCAGCACACTTACATGGTCCATTATGCCAATAACTCTTATGATGAAAAGGAGTTATAGGAGAGACTGAAATGGCTTTTTGGAAGTATGAAAATTCAGTTTAAAATGGTTGGACTGGAACATCACAGATACCATGAAATTTCCCTGAGACACGCAGCTGAGGGACAAATGAGAGGGCCAAAAGCTGTTAGGTATATGGTATGATTTGCAAATTAAATAAATATCAATACTTATGGAGTTAAATAAAAAAGTTTCAAAAATGGACCTTTAGCCACTATCCTGAATTCCTACTTGCCAGCTTCATGTTCCAATTGGTTGTTGTGATGCAATACCCTGATCTGCTGGATCACAGCTGAGTGGAAATCATATGCAGAAATGGTCAACTACAGTGTGGTTTTGTGACTGATATGTCCAGTATGGAAGTTACCGAGAACAATGATTCATTTCATACAGACCAAACAGGCATCAGATTTAGTCCTTTTGTTGCTATGATCATCATTCTTCCCAAACAGTTTAATGGCATCCATTTCTCTATGCATCTAATATTACATATAACTCAACCACTTGCCTTTTCTTATACACATACAATCACCTAACCACCCTATGGAACTGAATCCTGGACTTTGTTTGACCTTCATCACCCAACAAGCTGATAAAAATAGCTTATGAATTCCTAAAATATTGTTATGAGAGAAAAATAAATCCCTAAGGAAATTCACACAACAAAGCCATTTTATTCAACATCAATATTGTGAGAAAACATGCCAAGATTCCTACTCATAAAATTATATTAAAATATGGAATCAAAAATAGCTGAGATTAGATAATTAAAGATTTTTTTGCACAATGAAATAGTAAAGTAATTGCTAGACAACTTCTTCACTTTCAAAATGTTTTGGGATTTAAGACAAAGTTGACAACTGCTTAGGAACTAAAAGATATTTCCAGGGTAGTATTAGATGCTAAACGGTAGTGTTAGATGCTAAACTCTGGTGGTTTCTTCGCCTATCATCATCATGGCAAATCCCAAAGGAAAATGGTCTCTTTGCAGATCGAGCAGCACTTGGATCAATCTTTGACTAGTTTACATTTGTCACCAACACACAGGATACCAGAATGCCCCTTCCGCAAGGTTTCATTGGTCAGTTTCACCTCAGTGGCAGAGAATCTCTTAGCCACTTCAGCTACATGGACAATTGACTAGATTATATTGAAGCTGACCACCTTGACAAACACCCTAACGACACGAACTACCCTGGAGAGGTCTTCTCCCGGCTAGGGTTAAAATGATTGCCAAGTTTGGATTTTACAAGACATATTCCCTCAGGGTTACATTCAACCTAATGCAAAGGGCAGGTACAAATCGCTATGTACCATATATAAAGGCTTAACTGGGGCATAGGAGTTTCATGCAGAGCCTCTGTGGTAAAATGGATTTCACTCTCAAGTAACATTAACAGAGACCAGGAGCTTTTCCTTCCCTTCCTCTGCAGAGTTGAGAGGCTATCATCTTCAATCTTGTAGGAAATGTCCATCAGGTTTATCTACCCTTGCAGGAGGTTCCCCTTGCTCATGTGTTTGTATATTTCAGAGAATTTCAAATTATACTTGTAAATTTTAAGTAAACTTTTTAAATTTAAATCCAATATTTTCTGTATTAAGAAGCTGACCATAAGATATGGACATCTACAAGCCCCAATCACTAAAATATGTAAGTAAAATTCCTATGAAGAACTATCAATAAGTAAATATATATTTGGGGGGTAACTTTATCAACTTTTTTTTGTTACAAATCATCTGACATACATGGAAAAACACTTCACTCTAATTTCCACATGGCTTGTAATCCTTTCTAAAATTCACCCCACAATCATGTTGGCACAGTGGGGTTTTCTCAATTAACAGTAATAACTCCCATGCCACCCTCAGCAGGACTTTCTATATACATCAAAGAGCTTAGCTGTGAAACTGATATGTTCTAATGTATCCTGTTTCAGGACTCCAAGTATAACTGTAATAGTTGTGTGTCACAAACTGAATTTTATAGAGTGCAGAGCGGAAAGAAAGTAACTAGTGTAATGCTGAAAAAATCTTACTCCAGAGGCATAAGGATTAGTCTTTTTATTCAAAACGAAGTAAAAACTTTTCTATACACTATTTATAGATTGATTGATCTCTCTTTGCAATTACACACACACACACACACCCCTCTAATAATCCGATCTATTATTGTACATCAGTATCAATTACACTCTGAATACAAGGGTATATTGAGAAATCCCACATATTAGCATTAACAAACTTTGAGGATGTGATGAGATCAGAGAACCATCCTAATGCATAAAGTGCCAGAGAATGGCTGCTTAAATACAAACACACACTTGCAAATTCCAAATTTTTGCAAATGCTAGACATTAAAGGGTGTGGGGGGAGAGAAAAATTACATTGCTTTTAAAATCAAGGTTTTAAAGATATAAAGAAGCATAATTTATATAAAATAACTTAATATGTGGGTTTCCACAAGACCAAAGTTTAAAGAAAGAAATTTTAAGAAAAGCTGACAGCTCTGGGGGCCATATGAGTTAGCTGACATGGTATGTTGTGTAGGTCTTTCAGAGAGCAACAGGGAAGAGAAAATCATTTAAAAAAATTGGAAAATGTGATTACAAAACCAAAAAATTGACAAGGAAACTCAGGAGCAGATGTAGAATCTGAAATTACCTTTTAACAGCTCTCCTCCCCCTCTTTTTTTTTTAAATTGACCAGATTTCAACTTAATGGTGTTGCTTTAGACTACACTATTTTTCAACTGTCCATCTCAAAACTTATTCCTCATAGTCAATACAAACATTACCAATACGTTTTTAAAGTGAAAATATTATTGCTAAATATATTATTCTACTTTTGCCAAAACATTTACTCTATCGTGAGCTCACTAAGGGTCATTTTAATAGCTATATTCCATCATAAGTTTAATAAGGGTCAATTTAATGGCTATTACATATCTACACTCATTTGTAGAGTGAATAAACTGTTTTATAATCAGTCCACATCTCAGAAATATATTTCCTTCTAAAGTATTGTGACATCACAAGTATAATTTCACAGTTGAATACAATTTAATCATTTATTTCATGGGTATGAAAAGAGTGCACAGCAGAAGAGACCTGAGCCAAAATTCAGTATGGATTGCTGTAAACGAGACATTTCTGACAGTCTCCAATAATTTGTTAACCATTTATGGCAATTCAAAAAACTGCATCTGGTATGTCTTATATTTTCCCATTAAATATCAGTTCTCCTGCCAAAAAAATCCATAAAGAAATTCTTCAAAAGATTTGGCCAACAAAGCTGTGTCTGGGAATGTATTTGGCCCATTTTCAACAGGACATCATATGTTTTCTTGAATAAATAACATGTTAAAAAACAGAGAGCCTTTTCTGAAAAAAATAAATAAAAAAATCTACTATTTGATAGATACTTCTAACCAAGTAAAATGTTGTTTCCCTTATGCATCAAGTTTTTAAACTAAACTGCTTATATCACATTGAGCGAGACAAGGTGGGTGAGGTAGTATCTTTAATTGGAGCAACTTCTGTTGGTGGAAGAGACAAGCTTTTGAGTTACACAGAGCTCTTCCTGAGATTTGAATATTTCCTCATTCACCTTGTCTCTCTCATATCCTGGGACCAACATGGCTAAAACAACACTGTAAATATCACATTATCGTTTGAAACCATACTAAGACCCAACCTTGCCTGTAAGCTCAAACCTACTGAGACCTACCAACCTTCCCACCACCACAATCACCAAATGCAAAACTATGGGACTAAGTTCACCCTGGCATGAGCACACCCTCTCACAAGAGGGGGAGTTTTGTCTGCTTACGCCAAGGTTCAATTTGGTCCTTGGGGTCAGGGAG